AAAAAGCATTTGCGGCTTTCAAAGCGACGATGCGCCCTGTAAGGCGGGTGCGCCTTATACATCGGAAATTAGGGCATTTTGGTGTCGAGATCTCTGTTAAGGTATCACTGAAAATGTATCCCTTTGATCGGTATCCGCCATACATCTCAGCTGGAGCTGTACTAATGTCACACAACACTGTTGCTCACTTTTATTTCGCACTACAGTTAGTTAGGGTAAGCTTGTTTTTACTTGTCGTAATGATCTCTGAAATCAATAGGGCGTGTGACGAGGGGTTGATTGTGACGTAGCCACGGTTGCCTTTTTCCATCAATGATGCTATCCTGAGAACGCTGCAGTTGGAAAAGACTGCCAAGGCTGCGCCCCAAGCCACGCCCACATCACACGCCCTGTCGTTCCGCGGATCATAGCGGTTATCACTTTTTAATAGTATCACCTTGTTCAAAATTTTTGTGGGTTGAAGTGATGGAATGTGAAGAATATCTTATTATCCACGAAAGGGATGTAATGCTGCGTATTTTTTTGCTATTGCAAAAAAAAGAGGAGAAACGCAAATTCTATGTTGTACGGACGAATGATCCGACGTATTGCTAGCTCAAAAGAAAATCAGTAAAAATTCCGGATATATGTTGGTCGAGAAAATCCGAGTTTTGCGAAACGTCGACTAAACCACAAATGTTGTTGTTTCTCTGGATCGAGAGTATGAGCTTTATTTCATGCATTTCGGTTCCCAACTTACGAAGTAAATTGGCCAACTTACCATGGAATGGATAACAAGCCATCCACTAATGGAGGGCTAATGCCGTTTGGACTCCCAAAATTTCGGCACCGAGCCCATTTTTAAATTGCCTAAGTCACCAAATCCGCTAAAAACTTGTATTAGAGGTAGTTTAGCTGGCGCTAATGGATGACACTACGATTATCTGCGCTCTGCTAAGGCTGAGCCCAGGAGGTAATCGTAGTGTCCTCTCTTGGCGCCAGCGACAAGAATGAACACATTTGTAATCAGGATGTTAAACTACCCTATATACAAGTTTTTAGCGGATTTGGTGACTTAGGCAATTTAAAAATGAGCTCGGTGCCGAAATTTCTGGAGTCCAAACGGCACTAGCCCTGATGGAGGCCCAGTTATTGTGGTAGAGTCTGGAATGGTGGTCGCAAATATGGAAACTAAATCAATAAATATTTGTAAATGGCTGCAACACCCTGGTGACGAGTTTTAACAAATCTGGGGGTTTTGCCTCCCCGCGATTCGGTTGTGATATCCAGGTTGCTCCCCATATTGATAGACAGCATTCCATACTCTATCAAAAACTAGAGTATTGTTCCCTGCGTATGCTGGGCGTGTCAGGGAAGCTGGGTTTAGCGCGGTGCCAGCCCATTTGACACCACTTATTGATGTTTTCCTTCAGCAATTGGTGAAAAATGGGCTGGTTCCGCGCCGACCTCAGCTTTGGTGGCAGCCCCAGCATTCACAGTGAACAAGACTACGGTCCCTTCCAAAGTTTCATGGTAAGTTGACCACTTCCCTTCGTCAGGCGGATTCAGTTACATCAGTTTGCATCTAAAGCAGGCAAGAAAGTGTTATGGAGGGCAAACAACTTCAGACTGTTCCATTCTTTCTGACATGTCAAGGATTTGCTCCTTAACAACTGGTATGTGGCGCTTCTAACCACTGTATCACATCTCGTCCACCACAGGGGGCCTTAAATCGTTACTACAAAAGGACGCAGGAAGCATTGTCAGCATAGCAGCATTGACAAGTATAAAAGCAGGAACTGTTCATTCAGATTTATCCATTCGATGATATCTACGCTGGAATTCTTGCACATTTGTTGCGAATCCGTCCACGGCCATAATGAGGCCTTTGTATTTTGGACTCGATCTATAAATGCTGATGAGTGGAAGCATGGAAATGTCTTGGCCGCACACGGTTATTCACCTGATCAATTAATCCTCGAGTACAACGCATCGATTCATTCTGCATAGATTTTGTGGTGACATACGTCCCTTCAATATTCTTACGGGTTTTCTCCCTTTTAGGATCTATAAGAGTTTTCCATAATTTCTAAAATTTATAGCATTCATTGTATCTCGTTCACAGGTGCCATACATGTTTGTAAACACTGCTAATATAATATATTGTTGTTGATATTGGTTTAGCCCTCATTATATTTTAGTAACCATCATCTCTAACGACTGAAGTGTATTGTGTTCATACTTTGCGTCAGCGTTTTAGCGAACGGCAGCGTTTTTTGGCGACTAGCCGCGAAACGTGCGAAACGCTAGATCGTTACGTGTGCTTTCTCAGTAGATAGAAATGCTGCCGCGCGCTGGCGTAAGCTCAAAATCCTGACGCAGAGTATGAGTGCACTGTAAGCTTGATAGGTTTTGCTAGCTGATGCCGATCTTGATGGACTTAGCCTGGCCGCACTGCTCCACCATCACTGAATCACCAAAGCGGTCTGAGCTCGTACTTCCTGTGAACGAAGATGCATTGGTAAGTCCTGTAGCGGTCCAATGCTTAGCCAGTGTAATGCATGATCTGTCGTAATGGCCGTGGTCTGCGGCGATTCTCAACATCGCTCGCCGTGGCGAAGTTGAGCACAGTCTAAGACCGCTTCTACATACCTCATGGTGGCGAAATTCTATATGACACTTTTAGGCAGAATGCCTTTTGACACATCATCATTTCGTTAATATCGTAAGGTCTTAAGTTCCGACAGGCGAAATGCTAAATGCATCAGGTCTCACTAATTATGGTGGGGAATTTTTGAAAAAAACTCTTGATAAGACCTGTTTATTTGAGGCATTGGCGAGTTTATTTCGTATTGATTATGGACATGCATGAATGCATGTAATTTTGATGGAAAAAAAACAACAAACAAACATACAAAACAACCAAATTGAACAAACAAACAAGATAAAACGTGGAGAAGGAAATGATCAAATCACTAACTGTTTACTAAGCTCGGAGACCGTTTGGAAGGATTGAGATTGTTGTGGGATGAGATTCGGGCGTAAGAGTAGATTCATACTAGAACGACACTCTGTTGGAGCATAAACTGAAGACCACTGGTTTGGACGCTAGCGACATCCAAGCGGTTGAAATCTTAGCCGATGTTCCCCTAGTATTAGAATGAACAATAACGAAAAATTTAGAAGCGTCCATTGTAGTCAAGCCATGCAGAATTTTATAAGCCATGAGAAGATCAGATCGTTTCCTCCTACATTCAAGGGATTTAAACCTAACTGTTTGCATCGCTCTTTTCCGCTAGTATTCGAGTAATTCGAGTTGAAGCAGCGAAGCATCAGCTTACGAGTAAAGTTGTTTTGGATACCCTCTAGAGCGCAAATATCTTTCTTACTGTGAGGATTAAAGACAGTAGTCCCCGATTCAAGAATGGGGCGGACATAAATCTTATAAGCTTTCAAAAGAACCTTGGGATTTCTAGTTCTGAGTGCTCTGAAGAGATTGAAGATCCGACGAAGGGCCTTAGCCACCAAAGATTTATAATGATTCGAAAAAACCAAGCGTTCTATCGTAAATGGAAACCGAGATCACGAACATCAGAGACAACACTCAGTACGAATATCTAGATTGGTATGACGGGTTACGTGGGAGCCTCCCAATACACATAACTTTAGTTTTTTCAATAGAGAGAGGAAGTTGATTAACTTTAGACCATTGAAGCACTTTATCTATGGCCAGCTGAAGTTCGGCATCAGGACCATCGCCTTCGAGCAACTTATAAATTTTAATGTCATCAGCATAAAGGTTACACGTGATGTTAAGACCCTGAAAAAGGGCCGTTGGGGAAAAAAAATCAAAAGCAGTGAAATATAGTTGAACAGACGGGGGAAAGCACGCCCACCTGGAGCACGACACTGATTTCACCGTGGCGAATTGAAGAAAATGAGTTCCGCACACAATCTAGCGTTGAAAGGTTCTATTATTTAGGAATTCAGTAATCCATCTTACAACAAGAGGGTGAAATCCAAAATCGAACCAGTTTTTTGAAGAGCAAATCGTGAGGGACCTTGTCAAATGCCTTCTGAAAATCAAAGTAAATAACGTCAGCATTCTTGCCCTCTTCATAGGCTTTAGTCCAGTCATTAAAACAATCTAGTAAAGACGTCTCAGTAGACCTCCCTTTGCTGAAACCATGCTGCGAGTTCGGAATGATGGCATATTTATCAATGTGAGAAATGAGGTACCTCTTGAGGAGTTTTTCAAAAACCCTGGCAAAAATAGAAGTAAGACTGATTGGTCTGTAGTTTCCAGGATTGGAGTACGGTTCTTTCTTTGCCAGTGGAATTACGATGGCATGTTTCCATCTAGAAGGGACTTCACTCCTCATCGAGATCTGAAGAGTAAAAAGGAATTCAAGAGGGCCTGTGATTTCATGGATACAATTTTTGATAAACTGATAAGGGAGACCGTCTGGATTCACGCTAGCTTGGGAAGACCAATTCAACAAGAGCTTCGCAATGTCGTTTTGTAGAACACAAAGGACATGGGTCATTGGATACTATATTAATGTCCAATGGTAAACGATCGGAAGAGGAAGAAATGGAGAGAAATGCAGATTCAAAAACATCAGCTAACATTTTAGCTTTACTCACATCAGTTAACGCTCTATCAGAATTGTTACACAGAGTAGCTACACAAGGTTTGTCAGATAGTCTGGAATTGAGGACCGCATAAAAACCTTTGACACCCCCTTTTGGATAAACAGTTTAGCTAAACATACGCGCATAATATTTTACTGAGTTTATTGGAGTATTCCTGGTCAACATAGCTTGTATACTGCCAAGTCCTGGAATCGACTGGGAAACACGGCAGAGTCCGACAGTGATACGGCTTATCCTAGACATGGAGGCAAGATATGACGGAAGTTTGAGTCCGCCCTGGGGTAACACTTTGAAGGGACAAAAGATATCCACAGCGTGGTGTAAGATCCCTAAGAACAATTCATACTTGGCTAAGTCTATCATCTAGTATAGAACGAGCCATTACCCAACGGCTTTGTTCGATACTTCAGCAAGCACAAAGTGTGCTTTACTGAAGTCACGAAGCCGCTTTCCGAAACGTGGGCGATGAGATATAGACAGTAAAAAACCTAGATGAAAGAATGATATTAAAGTTTACCAGTCCAAGGGCGACCCTCCAAATTAAATGCCATCATACCACGAAATCGAGTCTGGAGAAACATTTCTTTGGTTCATTCATGTTGCTGATTTCCTTTATCTTGGGCAGACGGACAAGACAATCGTGATTTTCGCGTCGTCGATGTGCGTATCGCGGAGGCCTATGCGCAGCAAGCTCTCGATTTGCATGGTTTACTTATGGAGATCAGTGAAAACAAAATCTACAAAGATTCTGGGGAAGACAAGTTCAAAGACGAGGCCATGTCGAATTTCCTACGTAACCTTAATACCCAGATTCTGACGCAGCAGGCAAGAAGAACCGGTCTGGAGTGCAACCGTCGATTGCCACGCCCAGCCATGACTCCGATTGCCTTGTCACAGGTATAAGCCGTGTTCTGCTCAGAATAAACGTCAGGTCCAAATGGGAACATTTCTCAAGCTTCTGACACTTTTGCCATGTATTTTCAAGTAACGAAAGCGGCATGTTCTGGGCTAGTGCAGACCCGGCTACCGGTGGTGCGCGGGAGTGAAATTCTTCTATAATAGATACATCGTTGAGTATGTTCTTTGTAAGGCGATAAATGGATACTCCTGGCAGGCACGGAATTCCTAGCAGGCGCTGCCGTATCAATTTTTTTTCCCCAATGAAAAAAATTACAAGGGTTTCAGCCAAAGCTGCAGCCTACCGACCCGACGCACGCTGCGCCCAACCAAGCCCATACATAAACCAGTTCGATCGCCCGCTGACGCCGAGCTCTCCTCCTTCTGTTTGGCCCATACAATACATAGACTTATAGAGCTTAGTAGATAAAGAGAGAGACGATCGATCATATACAGGCTTGCTTATGGATATTGGTAGCTCCCTCTGAGCCTCAGATACCTAGCAGAGTAGTGGTCATAGATGTCGTGAGAATGTCCCCTTATCAGTTCTTATCAATTGATAAGATTGCCTGTCACCCGTCAACAATGTTGCTACCACTAAAGCTCTATAATTTGGTAAAGGCTTCAGCGCTTTGACTGAACAACAACGGGAACGTTCCTTATCAGCCCCTATCAGCTGTTATCACTTCCCGTCGCCTTCCCCACCTCCCTTTTATATCATTTGCTGAGATCAACGCCTAGCTGATGCTGTGTCCCGCGTTGTGGATATGGGGACCTTCCCCTTCTAACTCCCCTTATCAAATCTTATCAGCTGCTAGCAGTTCTTGTCACCCATCAAATATTCCCTGTGCCATACCCCGAACATAGCCTATATCATGCCTCGGAACAAACGTCCCAGTGTTGCTGTGACACGCGCTATGGACCCGGTACCCCTCTCCTTCCGACGCCTCTTATCGAATCTTATCAGCTGATATCACATCCTGTCACCCACCAATGATGTTCCTGTCCCACAGCCTATATCATATCTCAGAACTGACGTCCCACTGCTACTGGGACAGGTGTTATGAATTTCGTGAACCACACAACAAGACACACACACGACACACTTAACGGATTAATATAGTAGGATGGTCGTATTACTCTCACACCTGAAGCTGGTTTGCTTTCATTTGCGAAGTAAATATGAAGCGCAATAGTTGATATGAAGCTTGCTACGTGTGCTCGATATCAAGAGTGATACGTGCAGCCGTATCTACCGTAGCGGTCCTTGCAAGATGCCTACGGGAAACTCGTCCAAAATCGCTTCTCGAACGAATCATTGAGAAAGAAGACTTTTCTTCGTAGGCCTTTGACCTTTTCACTTCGGTTTTTCGCCATTTTCCCCACTAATAGCACCCTGCTAGCATTTTAGATCGAGTACCAAATTATCGCGGCCATATGCCTTTAATATTTAGCGGACTGTAGTTTATTTGCTTTGGGAATTATGTGCGTGTAGGTCAGCTGAAACAGAACGTGTGTGATATGATTGTGCTATAAAATTATTTCTTTGAAAACAGATATGATAAAATATTTAATGTCACTTTTCATCATCAAAATAATCAATTCGGGCGCCACTTTGGAATTTGTTCTCCTCAAGGTTGTTTGAGCATTTTTTCGACCGTTTGCGTCGGAGTCAAGCATGAACGGTGAGCATCATGTGTAAGTGAGGTATTCTGTGAAAAGACAGCTCGTATTCCTTCGTCGAATGACCTAAAAAGGGTTAGCATTCATGGGAGCTTCACAAGTACATGGCTTAAACTCACTGTTTCGCGACCACATCGTGCATCGCTGTATCGACGGGACCTGGAGCGTAGTTGAACACTTTCACGGTCTGATCCTCAACTGCCAGACCACGGAAGAATGCCTCACGGGCTGCTTTTCCCACGGAATACTGTAAAAAGACTTGCATATATTAAAGTAACAACAATTCTTTTAAAACTTGTGAAGCTAACGCTATTTCTGGCAGTGTACCATACTGTGGAGTGATTCAGTGGTTAGAGGCGCTATCTGCAAACGGCACCGTAGAGGGTTTAAATCCAACTCACGTCAAAAATATCCCTTCGATAGACGTTATCATTAAAGACGGCGCTATTCCGCTATGGGAAGGGGGATTTCATAAAATAAAGGTACTATATTCTTGTTCGGTGCTGACACAGCGAATATGATTATGATTTGCAAGAACATCTCGTAATTTCTAGTGAACTCTTGTAATGCAACAATTCTGCGATGACTGGATGGGCGGAGACAAGGGACCATTGTGCCTTTCTTGTTGCGGTCCCCTCACCTCAAGGGTGTGTATAGCCACTATTCTGTGGAGGAAGGGAGCTCTGCGCTTGCTTGGAAGCATCTCTTTGTGGGGTTGGTGTTTTGACAGTGTGCTTAGTTATCACTAGCTTAATCCATTGATCAAGCGCCTTTCAAGTCAAACCATCAGTCCCGAGGTTACAATGCTTTACTATGATAACCGTTGTTTTAACGTCGCAGTTGGCTTTTCGAAAGTTATCGCAGGAATGCTGAATTATGGGCAGAAGTCTTGACCCCACCCCAGCTTGAGGTAGGGTTTAAAGTCCTGCGAACTCACATACTTGTGATTTGCATTGCTTCTACCAGTACAGGCAAGAGGACTTTGTCAACACTGGTCAGTCCGGGAGATCATTGTGGAAACAATTATCCAAAATACGATTGTTTCTATATGCGAAAAGATAGTGAGATTCATGGCGCATCCCTCTGGTGGACTAACTAACGGCGCGCACAATGGCTCTCACATGTCGCGGCAGGAATTCGGCTATTGCACATGGAATACCTTCTGGTTGCTCCCTAGCGTCCCTCCATCGACTCCCCATCTTGGAAACGAACCTAATTTCTCATTCGAGTCAAGCAATGAAAAGCACATGTCAGAAAAATGCAATAATAAGAAGCCCGAATAGCGCACTGCCATTATCTCATTTGTTCCCGGCTAATAGACCTATATTTCAGTGACAGGGCCTATTTATAGACTTCTTTGCATTACGGTGGTATCAACAGCTGTCACTAGAAAAGCAGGAAACAAGTAGAGTTAAGTGTCTGTTCAGGTGGCGGTCAACACTCAGAAAAAAAACTGACGGATAATTGCACACGAATTCACGATTCCTCCCCTCCCCTTCGGTCTGATGATGCTTTTCTGGCTCCTAAAAATATGTACATAGTTGCATACCTGCGTTAACGACGGGAATCCTTGAATTGCGACCAGAGATGTGATATTTACAACGAATCTTTCTTTTGCAACCTGGAAAAAATGAGTTGCAGATAATTTGGGGAGGTATTTGAAGTAGTGGTCGTGAGACTCTGACTACAGTACCTCTTTAGTTATTGTATTCAATAATAGATTGTTGAATTGAACCATAGCGACGAGATTCACACTGAGGAAGTTCTGCCATTGTTCCGGATTACTCAACTCTGTACTTCGTTTCGACACATCGCCAACGGTACCACAGTTGTGGAAGATGAAAGCGCTGTCGAATGGACCCGTTTCTGAGTGAGAAACAATGAATCTGGAGTAAATTTGTGCTTTTTTACCTAGTCTATTGATATGCGCCATGCACTGGACTTTATGCGTCGCCTCAGGACCATGCGGGTTCCAGGTACGGACAACATTGGTTTTGGAGTGCTGCAAGAAAGAACTCGCCTGCGGTGCGGAGGACTGAAGTGTCAGCTTTCTGCCCCAACACTCTGATGAATAGAAATTTGTGTTAGACACAAGAGGAAATGAGGGGAAGGTGAGAATCACCAGAAGATGAATGGCTGATACTGTGGAAAAGGAGCTGAAGCATAGATTGGCAAAGCGTCATCTATTTCATTCCCACTAGAGAATTCCCACTAGTTCCAGAGGGCACTGACAGAGGATGTGACCATTGTTCGTCTCTAAGCCGCTCCATCGCTCGAGACGCGCCACGTACGTGTAGTCGTCCAGTTTTTTCTCTCCCAGCTCAGTGATGAGAGGGGTCCCACGCGTGTTGTTGAGAATGTTCTTCAGAGATCTCATTGGAATTTCGGAGTTAAGGAAGAAAGCCACGTCGATGATGTTGAATGGTGGTTTAAAGAAGTTGAAATAGGATCTTTCATGGCTTTGACTAAGAAACAGAGTGCACTACCCCCCCTCCCCGCTCGATGGGAAATTTCAAATTTTTGGGTGAAAAGCCTGAAGCCATGGGAAATTGGTGGATAGGTGTTGGGGAAGGGAGGGGGCGTACCGAGACCCTAAGGGGGGGGGGGAGGAGCGACAAACGCGGGAGCCAACCGACGAAAAGTGCGCAATGGTTGGAGTATTCCGCCTGCAGTTCAGCGCAGAATGTGCCTTCCGAGGTGAAAGGGAAATAAAGTGCGCTCTCAGGACTTTTACCATCCTTTTGCCAACCGGCCTTGATCCCCAACGTACTGCTTCCCTATAAAAACGAAATCCTTGCAGTGTCGGTGGTGGAAAGCGTTCGGAGAGAAGGGGAAGTCCAAGTAAAACCCAAAATGGTCCGCTTTAGTAGATGAACCACTTTCCACTGATCGCCCCGAGAACGCCCAGGGGTCAAGTTTGACTAAACAACTAATTTCAAGTGAGCGCTGTTCTTGTAAAGATTTGAAGTTAGAAGCCCTTCGAGGCCAAAAGCGCCCACGTTGACTTACCTTTAATCTCTTCGAGAACCTCTTTGAAAGTGTTAATCGCATCGTCGTTAAATGATCCCATATCACAGACAACTATCCATACTTGAGCTTTTTCTGAGCTGAAATCATAGGCTAGACATCATGAAACTCAATTGGAAACGAAATACATCGGAACAAAGGGAATGCCAGAGTTGCGGAGGGACAAGGCGCGTGCCTAAGCTCGCCTGTCCACGCCCTCCCTTCGAGACAGTGATTCTCCACCTTCCCTTCCCAGCTCGATCAAGGTGCAGACAACAAAAGTAGACGCGGCATAGTCTCGCCGGGTGCCCCTTTCCGCAACTCCAGTAAACACCAAAAAAGTACTATACCTGTCGAGAATACCCTGCTTGATTTGTAATAAGGTAGCTTCGTTACGAGCCGTGAGTAGAAAGACTGAAATTAACCGACGGTTAGGTAATAGAACCGTACTTTTACCTGTTAACCGCTTCTTCAATGTACTTTAGGCTGTTGTAGCACATATCTCTTCAAAAAACACAGTGAGAATCAAAAATAGCACAACTCCAAAATGGGGTGTAAAGTTCGGAAGCGGGCGTGGCTGTAGAATCCCTTTGAGGCAGCGAAGGGCGCACCCTTACCGGGACAAGTATGTTAGCAAGAGCGAGCAAACCCTCTGCTCCAGGGCAAAGGGACACCGAGGTGGGCCGAGGTGATCGAGGCATGGAATGCACCTGGTAGTCATAGAATGCCTGGCTGCAGTGGTGCAGAGGTTCAAGTCACCTGAAGATTTGGGCACGAGAACCCCAGATTTTGGCAAGCGAAATTTTGGAAGCTCTCTAGATTATTGCCAAAAATCCCGAAGTAAGGTGATGCGTGAAGTGGTGGGGTCAGTACGACCCCCCCCTCGAAGGGAGGGTCTCGGTACCCCCCCCCCTTCCCCAACACCTACCTACCACTTTTCTACAAGTTCCCATCTTCTTACCAGTCATTCACCCAAAAATTTTCCGTCGGGGAGGGGGGACGGGCAATATGAAACGGGAAAAACCGCGAGAAGTCAGCAAACGGGGAACATTTTTCCCAACGTCCCAAAGCGGCAACTTGCTCTCAAAGCCACATACAACCCCCCCCCCTCTCCCAACAACGACTAAAGACGACGGTCCTTCTCCAGCGGCCAAGTACGACCCCGGCGCTCATGGTTTCAAACAACAAAGCCTGTACACTCTTTGTGGTCTTCAATTGTCATCGGCTTCGCTCCAGCGCCCAGATCACCACCTGAAGCTACCCACTATGAGTCACTTTAGCGGTGGCTGAGCGCGAACCAAGCGTTCATTCAAGAGGTGATAGATTTATAGTTGTGAGCTACGGGACCTCCCTACATGCCTTTATTCTCTAGTGAACTGTTCTGAAGTTTGAAATGATTTTCAGCGGTGAATCACATTTCTCTTTGACTTTTCAGGTTTTGGCAAAGGTAGTGAGCCGAAACGTAACCCGGTTCAAGTTGCCTTAATATCTTGGCCGTGGTCTCAACATTCGCTGAAGTAGAAGACTCACACGAGGCTAAGATTCACAGAAGGTCGAGCGTGTATGCTATTAGTTATTCCGATGCTTAATTTTTGTGCTGTGAGATATTTTCTGTTAATTTTCTAGGTAACTTCAATGAGGAGAGCCGCTCACCTGAGTTTGGCGCAACCCGTTTCGACACTTGAACAGCGATTTCTTTGCCGATACCTCGTGAGGCTCCTGATACTACGGTGAGCACACGTTTACCATTCAGTACCATACCGTCTGAATCAGGGCTTTTATGGCTTTGGTTTATAGCTGCTTTTAAACGTAAAACAGCGAGTGGTCACGGAAAAAAATACGGTATTGAGTTGGTTGTGACCAAAGTGTATGACTCCAAAGCAAAAGAATCGGTATAGAAAGAGATAGTGGGCAGTCGCGCGCGTAGCGCGAAGATCTCATCAGGAGCTAATTGATTAAAGGTGGAAGCACTGCAGTATGTTTAGTCATGTAGTTAGGAAATACTCTGCCAGTCTCTGCGCATGCCGCAGCGTGGTCTTCTCGATCAGCTCCCCCCTCTCACGATAGTATAGATCTGAACTATAAAAGCTTCGTGGTCGGAAACAGTGATGAGTAAATCTGCATGGTAAATAAATAATAAACAGAAAAAAAATAAAGTGACCGAATAGATGAATGTAATCTATAAAGGTGTAGACAAAGAACAAAAGATACGAAGGAGAACTTCTCTAGAGTTTATATCGTTTTAATGTAAGGAACTGTGATGCTTCTTAAAGATTCAAAAACAACTGTGGTGGAATTTTGTGGTATGATAACACCCGAGTGCTGGAAAGGAATTATTTTGGTGACGATAAGATAAGAGGAAGGGGCGCTTTTTGAAGGTTAGTTTTTAGGCAGTATGATTCTCAGAAGGAATAGTCAAGGCAGTGCTGGGAACCTCGGCTCATTTGGTGGGCTTTCAAATATTTCAACTGAAAACTACATTCAAAAGGCTTGCGAGAGCTATCTTGGAGATTCCAAATCGGAAGTTATGTAAAACGGTGGGAAGCGCTTCGTAAAGAACGTCACTTAATGATGAAGTCTTGAAGCTTTCAGCGCTAAGCAACCCTTGGGAACACCGCACATTCTATTTTCAGGGGCGTCTCGACGAAGATGATTTGGCCGGATAAGTGGAGGCCAATGTATGCGTGGATCAGTGTCCTTTTCCTCCCTGGAGAACCTGGTACCCATTTTGCCGGTCCTAAAAAGGAAACATTGGTTGGAGTGGGCGGAAGCTGATTCGCCCTTTGTCTCCTGTACGACCGCGCGCTCTGTAATTTTCGTTACTTGTTACTATATCACCTTCACCCACCCACGTGATGGAAGCCCAATAATGGGCGAAAATCGGAAATCGGAACCGTGCTCATAGATGACCTATTTCCTTACGAGAACAGATCAGTGGGAAGCATAGTTTTCTATGATTCTGAGAATCCCATAGTTGTGCTCGCGTTTAATAGCTCATCGTTCCAGTGAGAACACCCTCACTTTTATATAGAGGCGCTGTTCGGGTTGGGGGCATTTTGTACCATCACTGCTCACT